TCCCAAGAATATTGCTACACTGAAACAGTTTTTGTGAAGAGGAGTGGTCCAAAATTACTCCAGATCGTTGTGCAGGTCTGATCTGCAACTACAGGAAATGTTTGGTTGAGGTTATTGCTGCCAAAGAAGGGTCAACCCTTATTAAATCCAAAGGTTCACATACTTTTTCCTCCCTGCACTGTGAATGTTTACATGTTATGTGCAATTAAACCATGGCAACATCTAATGTTTGTGTAGTATTATGTTCAGCAGACTGTGTTCTTCTATTGTTGTGACTTAGATGACGTTCAGAGCACATTTTATGCCCAATTCATGCAAAACTTCAAGTAATCCCAAGGGGTTCACATACTTTTTCTTGCAACTGTATATCTGAAAAACGATCAATCCTGATGTACTTAAGGCCAATCTCATTTCTTGAGGTCTGAAAATGTCAGGATAGTAAAAATAACCCCCAAATGACACATTTTTGGAAAATAGACAGATCAAGGTATTTAGTAAGAGGCATGGCAAGTTTTTTGAAGTTGTAATTTTTTGTCACTATTTTTTGGAAATTAAGAAAAAAAGAAATCACAATTTTTTTCACATATTGTTACCATTCCAGTACAGCATTATCATATAACTGGTGTGGTGGTGATCAGGAACACTGACTGGTGACAGCATGTAAAAAAAAAACAAAAAAAAAAAAAAAAAAAACTTTTTTTTTCTATTTTTCTATTGTTTTTTTCTTTTTATTAGATATTTTTTTTTTCTTTTTTTCAACACACTGTGACCAGAGCAATATAATGTTGCCATAGTAACATTGTACTGCTCTGGTCAAGTGATCAGGATTTTTTCTTACACATTATGTTCAAAATGTTAATTTTTTTTAATTTTTTCAATTTTAAAGTTTGTGAAAAAGAGTGAGGTTTAGATTCAAATTTGATGCATAATTTACTGAAGACCAACAACTGTTGACTCACCAAAAGAAGAAATATGCCACTCATCTACTCCCGTCGCTTCAATCCTACTGAATGACAGGTCCATTGGATGATACCTCATAAATGCAAAGGGGCAGGATATCTTAGGTAACATCATTGACAAGTATGGACATGATCCTTTGTATAAATTAGTTATCATCTGCTGGACCGGTCATTTCATGGAGGTGAGCAATGGGACAACGAGTTGTTTGATGTGCGTCTACATCACTGGGCAGTGTGATTGTGGATGTACTATACATTGTGGGATTTCATTGGGGTTTTTTTTTATTAAAATTTTTTTTTTATAAATATTCCCATCTCAGCCAGGAAACTGACCATGCTGTGCTCTCTGGCCTAGTATGGGCAGCTTTTAATAGGAAAGCAAAGGTACTGGCAGGAACACCAGGTATTGCACACAAAGGAAGCAATACAAATGGAACAGGATACTTTTTCATACAAGTACATGGTACAACAAACACATATCAGGAATGTGAAATGTTGGGTTTACATATTCTTTAAGAAAGAAAAAAGTACCATTTGCTACTAAATTACGTCTTGCTTTTGTTTGTAATCAAAGTGACTAGGGGATCCTTGTTGATGAATTTGGGCACATGTGGTCATGACATTATATACTCAATGGTGTCAAACACAAAAAGAAATCCACACCAAACCAAAAAAAAAAATTTAAACAAGAACCCCTATCTCTGAGGAGGGTCTGGTATCAATTTGGAGGATGGCCCTCCTCAAAAACCATGCCAGACCCTTTCTGAGCATGCAGCCTGGTTATTGCCTGTAAAGGGAGGCGCAATGAGTGTGCATGCCCCTCCTGAACCATACCTGATAATATGCCCTTGACAGCGAGAGGGTACCCTACCAGAGGACCCCCCTGATAAAGCCTATATCCCTATGTTGATGAAGATACCCTAGCTCAGTAGTTGTAAGGGTTTGTGAGGGGAACTTATCATAATCTAAAATAAAGCCCCCCAAATATCCACCCTCCAATGTGAATAAATAAGGAGTACATTCAGTATATATCCATTGCCAATCACATCATCCAATGATGATGGTAATCCAATGTCATCCAGCTGTGACAATGATCCAACATTAGTTGTGATGAATGATGATCTCAATAACCCACCAAAGCAAATATAATGATCATGGTCCTCTCCTAATGGACTCTCATTGCAACTGACAGCTATCTGTCCTGCTGCTGAATGTCAACAAGCTACCTAGTGATGCTGCCTAACCAAATATGGTACTGACCAAATTTAGTCTATGACATCACTTAGGATGCATGCTGACCTTTGTTGCAATGCGATCCTTTGTTGCTAGAACACTGGTGGACAAGTGTCCTAGCAACCAGTGATGCTGTGTGGCACACCAAGTGGGAAGTCATATTTTAGAGGTGATACCTATTCATAACCCTAAACTCAAATCTCATTCTTAATAATTAGCCATGTCTTAATCAACCCTATGCATTCTTCTACCTAAAGCATATCTGATTCCTGCAGAACATGCCATTTTATTATTTTTTATGCTTCATTTCATAAGGGCTCTCACTTATTAAAGCTGCAAGACTCCATTTGTTGACTATCTGGAACCATCTCTGAAATTAACTCATGGCAGTCAATTAAAATAAATCTTCAGAAATCTGGGCAAAATGATTTAGGGCTTGTAGCATAATGGGTATTACATATTGCTGCTCTTTGTGAGCTAATAGATGTATTTAAATACTGCAAAGTTATAAAAAAAAATCATATGTTTGCAATTCTGTGGTTTATGAATGGCAAGACATATTAAAAGGTTAATAGTTCACTGAGTAGGCCTTGAGTTACTTTTTCAAAATAGAGTACTGTATCTTTTGCAAATTGCATAATTATAGTACTGAAATCTTAAAAAGGGATTTAGGCATTGGATCCTCAAATGAAAAGCATTCAAATGCAATCACACATTCAAAAACAGAATATAATTTAACTAATGCCAACTTAGTTTAATGAATATAGCATATTAAATGCATTTTGCTGCTAGTTTGATGTACCACATGAATATTTAGTTTGAAACCCTAAAGTATCAAGTGATTGATTTTAGAAATTGTGAAATTCATGAATAAAATATAATCATGTTTATTGTATGTTTTCCTGGTGTCTTTTCTGGAAATGCCAATTATAGATTTATGCCAGTCATCATTAGCACAGATATACATTTGCGTTTAACACATTCCTCATGGGATTTAATAGAGGGGACATACTTTGACTTGTTTCAGACAGCTGCACCAATCAATATAAAAAACATTGAGCAAAAGCCACTTCTGCAGAACACTGACTAACTAGATTGAAGTAAAGTGGCACTGACAAAGCTAATGCCTCTGACAGCATATTACCATGGTTATTTTATTGTTTTAATTTGTTGCACAACAAAAGGACAAACATTTGAAAGAAAATTTTAATATTTATCAAATTCATTGAAAGGATACTTTCATCTTTCAGGGAAAAATAATAAATGCACATACAGTATTTTTTGCAGAAAAAAGTGCATTTATTATTTTCTACACAGTATCCTGCAACGCATTGCACCCATGATCAGTGGATCATGGGTGCAATGTCAGGCTCCTTCATGCTCTCTCTCTCCGATGATCAGCATGCCCGCAGTCCATTGAAACTACAAATCCATTTGCCACAGGGGCATATGGAACTTGGGATTTATTTATTCACAGATGCCCTGCACAACAAAGCTGATTTCAAATTTGACAGTGGGTGTGGGGGAAAAGAACCCCTATGTGGCTGTCACAAGGAAGGGGTGAATGGGTGCTGCTGGAACATGCTGCATGTTCCACCCTAAATATTTGTGTGATTTGTAACATGTTCCAAAGGTGTCCTCACAAATACAAAAAACAGATTGGAGCTGCTCCAAGCCCACAGTCTCCCAGGTTTACACTCTACATTCAGGTGCTGGCAGAGACAGAGAATAGCTAGATCTTTAGAATGACTAAAGTGTGAATTTTTGATTAACATATTTGTGGGGACTTGATTGAGGAGAAAGATGTTTTTAGCTTAGTTTATACATTTTTTTTACTAATATTGGAACTTATGTTTAAGCTTAGATGAACAAGGAGGGACCCCTTAGGACTTGGGACTTTGAAGGCTTAAATAGTACCAAAAATATTAAAAAAGTACAAATTTTTTATTTGTGAAAAATTGTTATGACACATAGACATACAATACAATACATCATATAGAGTCATAGCACAGCATTGAAACCAGAATATGAATTTACATTACCCACGTTGAATCTGCTTTTGAAGACATTAATGAAAGATTTCTGCGACTTTACATAAGTGTTAAATTATTGCAAGTTCTGCAAGAAAATCATGGAATACAATTCAAGTAACACTGTAGTTCTCAATGCAGTTCTCAAACAAGAGAAATATGCATTTCTGCGACTAGGGGCACTGCAAGGGAAAGGCTCCAGTTTAGTTTTCTTGCAGGCTCCATCTTGTACCTTCTAAAGTTGGGATAAATCGATGATAGTTTATATCTTCTCAGGTCTTAATTGACAAATTATCTTTTTTAACCTTTAAATGATTCATATTAATGTTCTCCACAGTCACAGCATAATGCAGGGTTTCTCAACAATTTGCTAGGGGTTCCATGAACAATTTCTGCCTCTCATTTGAATTCCCAGAGATGCCATTGATCTTTTTAGCTATCTGTAATTCTTCCCAATGACAATGGGGTAATTCTTCCCCAATGACAACAAGTGTAAGGAGCATACTTCCCACTGACCATCATCACACTAATATATCATGGATTATAGATATAGTAATTTTTAGCAGAGGTTCCCTGAGACTGAAAAGATATTTAACCACCTCCCGCCCGCCATATAGTAATATGACGGATACAAGGTGGTTCTCTCGTTCTGGGAGGATGTCATATGACATCCTCCCATTCTAACCGCGCATGCGCAGCTCCGGAGCGCACAGCGCGGCGATTGGCAGTGCGTTGTGTCCGATCCACGGAAAGAGCCGAAGATGTCGGCTCGGTCATGTGATCAGCTGTGTCCAATCACAGCTGATCACATGTAAACAGGGAAATGCTGGTTATCGGCGTTTCTCTCCTCTCGAGCTGTCACGCTGACTGCTCGAGAGGAGAGGAGAGCCGGTAATCGGCATTCCGCGGAGGGGACATGTACACTGATGATCATTGTGCCCTGATGATCAGTGTAGCCCCAGCAGTGCCACCTGTCAGTGTCCATCAGTGCCAGCTGTCAGTGCTCATCAGTGCCACATCAATACCACATATCAGTGCCTACCAGTACACATCAATGCCACATATCAGTGCCCATCTGAGCTGCCTTTCAGTGTCACCCATCAGTGCCAGTCAGTGCCACCTATCAATGCCAAACAGTGCCACCTATCAGTGCTGCCAATCAGTGCCACCTATCAGTGCCAGTCAGTGCCGCCTATCAGTGTGCATCAGTGGCGCCTATCAGTACCCGTCATCGCCGCCTAACAGTGTCAGCCAGTGCCGCCTATCAGTGCCAGTCAGTGCCGCCTATCAGTGCCATATATCAGTGCTGCCTTTCAGTGCCCATCAGTGATGCCTGCAAATGCCCATCAGTGCCACCTACCAGTGCCTCCTCATTAGTGCCCATCAGTGCCACCTACTAGTGTCCATCAGTGCAACCTATCAGTGCCCATCACTGCAGCCTCATTAGCGCACATCAGTGAAGGAGAAAAATCACTTATTTACAAAATTTTATAACAAAAACTAAGAAAAATTTTTGTTTTTCAAAATTTTCTGTGCTTTTTGGTTTGTTTAAGAAAAAAGAAAAAACCCAGAGTTGATTAAATACCACCAAAATAAAGCTCTGTCACAAAAAAATGATAAAAATTCATATGGGTACAGTGTTGCATGACCGCTCAATTGTCATTCAAAGTGCAACAGCGCTGAAAGCTGGAAATTGGCCTGGGCAAGAAGGGGGTATAAGTGCCCTGTAGGCTTGTGGTTAAAGGGTTCCTCTGTGTTAAAAAAAAAAGTTTGAGAAAGGCTGGCATTTGTTTTCTATAATTTGGTCAGTAAATTGTTTTTTTTTTTGTTTTCCTACTCTTAGTAAAATGGTGAGACCAACATCTAGAGTTTGGAAACATTTCAATTTCTCCTGAGAGCAAAGCTACAATTTACACAAATATTGTGAGAAGAAATATTCTTTTTCAAATGAAATGTTCATAGGGTGCATCAGTAAAGGAGACAGCCAGTAGTTTGTGGTGGAATGGAGACATGCACCGGGCAGCACTTCCAAGACTATGAAGCAGACTCTGGGTGAAGGAGAGAAGAGACAAGAAGGCGCTTTTAAGTGCAATAAGTCCAAATAGGCTTTAATAAGTACGGTTAAAAAAACACTTACAGGATGGGAGAAATAACAGGCTCATAACAGGTTTATCACTGCGTGGAGCTCTTTCCACTATATAGCAGCCCGCTGTGCCGGCCAGCACCTGCAGGGGGAGTTCAGGGTGAGGTTACAAGATGGCCGCTGCTCTTCCGGGAACACTGGAGCGCATGCAGGAACACACGCTGTCCAGATGGAACGCACACCGGAAGTGACGAAAGCATGGGGTGTTGACGCGTTTCAGAGCATGCGCAATGCACCTTCTTCAAGACCAATTCCAGGGTAAAGGACAAGCATAGTAAATAGGAAAAAAGGGCAGGGACAGGGCAGCCTTAGAGATTGTATATGCACGCCCCTGGGAAACAAAACAATACGGACGGACAACATTTAGATATAAAGGAAGGTGACTAGAATTAGGAGAATTATTCTATATGAGATAGTAAGAGGTGGTGAATGTAAGCACAAGATGCTGATATACAGTGACAGAGTCCCCCATGAATAATAAATAATGTCAGAAAATCGTGGCGCTTGTGTGCCCTGCACAAAGAGAAATTGTATAGGCACCACTAGTACGAATATATAGAATACAATAAGACAACATTGGTGGATTATGTGATTATCCATGCTGATAATAATATATAAACATAATGAAAAAAAAATGTATAAGATATGGTAAATGAATTCATATATAGAAATAATTAATAAAAACTGTAATGTACTAAAGACATTACATCATCTTAAAAAGAGAAAAATTAAATACCAAGTATGTACTAAGAAAAGAAAGGTGAATAGACAGATGTTACCGCAAACATGGATGGTAATGATAAATGGGCTGATCTTAGTCTATATGGTGAGTACTTCTAATGGATGGTGGCTATACAGTAGAACCAAAAGCCAAGTCCATCAGCCTCCCATAAAAAAAGGGGGCAGATGGAATATGAACCAGATCTGTAAAAACCAAGTGGTACATTAGCATGGCTATAATATATAGAAGGTAGCAACTCTATATGATAGTGTTGATCTCCAGGTCCTCATTCAAATTTCCAGGAGATAGTACATCCAGTTCATAAATCCAATAGGTCTCCCTATGACACAGATGGTGGTATCTTTCAGCCCTGGGGGGATCAGTGGGTATGGCTTTGATTACCCACAGCCATGCTAATGTACCACTTGGTTTTTCCAGATCTGCTTCATACTTCATCTGCCCCCTTTATTTATGGGAGGCTGGTGGACTTGGCTTTTGGTTCTACTGTTTAGCCACCATCCATTAGTTGCATTCTCATTTCAAGCATAATACTTTTATATACATTGCATTCACATTCAGAGTGTAATAAAATGACTTTCAGTTTGTAAAACTACTCCACATTGATTTTTTTTTTTTTAAATTTTTTTGGAAATATCCTTTTTTTCCTGGCAAAATTCAGGAAAATAAAACTTTTTCCTCATGCTTAAACATTTCCAGAAATGTTAAATCTCTAGCGCTGGGTGATTATAACCAAAATAAACATTTACAAAATAATACGCGAGCGACAGTGATTGTCCAAATACAAAACAACAGAAGAGTCTATATATATTACATAAAATATGTTGCTGTTACCCTATAAATATATATAAACCAACAAAAGTGCAATAAACAACCAGTATATACCATAACTCAGTATTTCATATCTAAATAAATATACTGTATACTGGTGAACAAAAGTACATTTATTTGAAATAACATCTCACAATCGCACACAAGTATACTAATATAAATTAAAAAACACAATAGAATCATAATCCATCCACAGGGGAAGAAGTGATGACTCATCACAGCTGATCACTTCTGTGCTCAGTCACCAAATGCAGCCTCTTACCAGAGATATCAGACTTCTAATATAAAGGACATAAACGCATGAAGACTATGCAGGGTAACTGTCAGATAAACCTCTCATGCAGACATCACAACTCCTCAAAACATCATAAATAGACCATGGGGGGAGAAATGGACAGGCTCATAGTGCAATACTGTCACACAGTGTTTTTTAAAGAAAGCTACCAACTCACATGAAAAAAACTAATTACAACATGTATCAGCTAAATGATAGAAAGCGTGAAAGTACCCCTACTCGCTCACAAAAAAAAAATTCACCTAGGTGACAAAAAAAGTAACCTAGAATAAAGACATCAAACATTTGACAAGTATGTTAGTAAAACAATAAGTATGTTATTAAAAATTTTAATTAAAACAAATTCCCTTGTAAATCCACCATCAATCAGGATGCCTGCTGCCTACTGACTCACCGAGATAAAACCTGATGACCCCTGCGCACGTGACCGTTCCCGATGCTACATAAAAACGAAAAACAGCTCTCCTCTGCTACTGTATATAAAATAATTAATTTAAAAGGTGCTCAAACTCAATATCTCTGTAGTGATCATAACAAAATATGTGTGTGAAAAAATAAAATGAACTCATAGTAAACATTAATAAACAATGTGCATCAAATAAATGGTGAAATAACAGTCCCATAACCTGAGTCACTTATGCATAACAAAGAAGTAAACTTCAAAGGTAAATATATAAATCCAAATTTTGAGAATGATGAAATTTCATGTGTAAGAACCCCAAACCACCACACAGACAAGTGTGCCAGTTTTCTTACCAAACATAGATGATCTCCAAATAATAAGAGATTGACTACACAGAAATCATCAAATTAGGAGCCACCACTCAGGAGAAAAAGGAAAGGACCATAGAGTAGTGTGTTAAAATTACAAACTTTATTAAAAGTATACTCACAAAAATGAAAGTAACACAGGCAAAACACACCACACCACATCAAGGATCAACAGTGGGTGTACAACGTCATATGTCACTGGCCTCACCCTACCTTTGTCTGCTGTAATGGACATCTTCAGGCAGTGGCGTCAGCTGGGAGTGTTGATAATTCCAACAATTTATGCCTTCTTCAGTGGGCATAATATACAGGAGTATACAGTATATATTTTTAGAGGGGACTCAAACTGACACACACTTACACACACACACACACATAGGATGGACTGGATGGACCTGTGTCATTTTTCAACCTCATCTACTATGTAATTATGTAAATATGTAATCTGAAGGTGCTCAACTCTAAACCCTTTCAAGTTCAGAGCAGCAAGAATCCTAACAGCAGTGGTTAGATAAGAAGCAGAATAAAGCAGAGAGAACCTATCAGTCCTTATATGCTATTAGATAATCTGTACAAAAACTATAGTTGAGAAGAAATAGACACATGTGATTCGTTTTGTTACAGATCAAAATTTGGACAAAATCTTCAAAATTCGGAGATTCGAATGTGTCCGAATCTCTGAATCACAATAGTAATGAATGTTATTGAATCTTAAATAAATTCTGATGAAAATAACAACTGTATATTCAATAATTCATGACATGAAGTGATAGCTTTGGCCTTTTGTTAATGCTTTAAGCATTCGAAATAAAGTAAGGATATAACAAATTGTTTTATTTGGAAAAGAATGGTTCGATAGTCTTTGACTCTTGGATAATCAGCTGATTCTTTTTGCATTAACATTTTTCATTATTATAAAAAATGCACTACATATGAAATGAAAACATATTGCAATAAATGCAGTAAGATATAAAAGTGAAATAAAATGATTCATACCTATTGTGTTTGGGTTGAATGGAGGTGGATCCATCAGAATCTGTGAATCATAACATAAAGAATGATTCAGACGTTAATTTTGTTACTTTCATTACTCCAGTCAATATTGTCCAATCAGCTCATTCCATTTATCTTTTTGGATTGGACTAGCAGGGATGACTCAGAGTGCATAAGTAATATTACAAAATAATGAATAATCTGTTAAAACGAATATAGCCAATCTTCCAATCTTCTTTAACATATCAAAAACATAGATGTGTTTTATTGGGATTTTATTTGATAAACCAACACAAAGTGGCACATAATTGTGAAGTGGACAGAAAATTATAAATGGTTTTCAAACCTTTTTACCAATAAATATCTGAAAAATGTGGCATGCATTTGTATTTAGCCCCCTTGAGT